TTAGGAATTACCGAGTATACGAGGGAAATTTTGTTAAGTAGGGAGCGACTATTAATGTAAGTAGGTTATTGATTAGGAAAGGGCAGATGCCCAACCGTAGCGGGGGTGCACACCCTTAAGCGTGTTTTTCGTCGTCTAGCACCCATAGCAGCTCATCAGAGGGATTAACATTGTTAGGGCTCCTGTTAGCATAGGGTTTGGAGAGAAGGAGAGTTTTCAAAGGGTTGTAGGTGGAGAAAGGGAATGTATTTCCATACCTGAGGGGTCATGGTTGATGTCGCTGGAGGATCAGTCGCCGCCATAACACATTTCGTGGTCGAGCATCACAATATTACGTAGCCTGCAACGCAATCTCAGCGAGAAGGGGACTGCACTGTGGTACACCAAACTCAGGAGGAAGATGCGTTAGAAAGGTTGTATGCCAGCAGGCATGGGAGGAGAGACACAATGGGGGCGCTTGCAGTTCAACATGAAAGTGCACTCGCATATGCGGGTTCTTGCGCAGTGTCATCTGCAGGTTATCGTTGCCGGAGGCAGCTCCTCCGTGGTGATGCATGCATGCCATGAGTATGTAGCATTTGTTTTTATGCAGTATACGCCATGCTTTGGTGTACCAGGGAGGGTATCGGGAGGGGGGTTGAGGAGACTCCATTCACGGTTGGTAAACGGGCGTGAGCTTATTAGGTTAGGGGGTGTTCAAGAATAGCTTAGTATAGGGCAAGGTGTCGGGTATGGTTGCTGGTTTCCGTGTATGGGGTGGGGGCTTTTTTAAAGATGGTGGGTGTATTTTTCGTTTCAGTTTAGGGGGGGTGGTAGCGAGGTTGTCAGCGGTGGTGATGGGGGTTGTGTTGTAATGCCAGTGGTGTTGTCGGTCATCTGGGTATGTGTTTGTCTTGATGTGTATCAAATCGCCGTTTTTTTGGGCGATGGTTTGGCTATCGAGGGGGCAAGGAAAGCCGGAGTTTGTCTGCTTGTTTGCGTGCTTGTTTGTATTATGCTCAATCAGATGCGTCGTTTCGAAATGGTGCTGCATGAGCGTCGTTTCGTATGTTACCTTAGCGTCTTATTTGAAAAAACGTTTGGCGCGTTTTTCTTCGGGAGTGAGTATGCTTTGTCATTTTTTTTATTTTTTTTTTTCTTTTTCAAATTCATTTCGCGAGGTATAGTATCCCATAACCGGTGTGCGTGGTGTTGTTTATCTAGTGTATACGTGTGTGGTTAGTTGTTTGCGTTGCGAGGATTTGGGGTGTACTGCTTTATTCCTGTATTTGGGGTTTGCATTCTGAAAGACAAGAATGCTGTACGGCGGGGGTTATGCCTTTTTTCTGATACTAAGTATTTAATTTATTAATTGGCATGGAATATATTTTTCTGTGTCTGTTACTAGGTTGTTTTATCGGACGTCCGGGACCCCCCTGATCGTCCGGGACGTCCGACCGGACGTTTGGTCGGACGTCGGACCGGACAGGGGATCTCCGACCTAGCGCAAAAAAAAAATTTTGAAAAAAATCATGTGGCTTCTACCTTGCATAAGGTAGAGAGAGGCAGACAGCAGCAACAGTCTGACTGGGAAGAGCACAGTAGCAGGGAGAAGAGCTGCATACTTAGAAAATGCAGTCCATCAGTAATGAACACAACCCGCCGTACGGGCTTCAACTTCAAAACTTCAAAACCATTTCCACTTCACACAGTTCACCACCCGAAGCCACCGTAGCTAAATTTCCCAGAAAACGACACAACAGATCCCTCGACCGGTTTCGTCCGTCCACTACGAACTCATTAGGAAGGTGCGCCTAAGACGCTTTAGTCGTAGAAAGAGGCCTGTGCCTTGCCTCTTGTCGGATATATAGTGCCCACGGGCTATCTTCTCAAAATGGTCCACAACCTAGAGATCCCTAGTCCCGATCGTGGTCTGAAGTCCCCGGACACGAAACGGACAAAACAAAAGCAGGAAAGAAAATGATGTAACATCACAAGCAAATAAAAGTAAATTCAAAAATCTTAAATAAACTCCGGAAGTAACTAGCCAAGAACTAGCCTAAGTACATCCAAAATCGAGTCGAAACGTCATATTTTTTGTGCCATCTAGAAAACAAATACTAGCGGGCCTAAAAACTTATAAGGGCGCATGTATGAACCGTCAGCTATCAATGTCCGACAGGCGTAAAATAAATAAATAAACAAAACTGAGATACCATAATATCTGAAAATAAAATCTCAAAAACAACAGATCCGAAAATAAGTCCGAAAATGACATGTGCAAGCTCACGAAGTTCGTGAGGATTCACGACATCCGGTTCCTTACTACGGAAGTGGCTGATGTCCAAAATTCATGGGTTTCGCCGTAGCCCTGTACGGTTACAGTCCGGTTGCATTGCTGTCCCGCGACTTTCAGCCGATCGGTTCTCAACGTCCATTCCACTGCCACAGCGCCCCAGATCGAATCTCGTATGTAAGCTTGCCTTCTTTTTCTCCTGCCAGGCGAGTCGAAAAACTGCCCAAAGAAGGCTCAGTGCATGATCCTCCGTTAGCCTAACCAATTTGGCCAGGGCCCCAAGTTAAACCTCCGGGGGGTATCCCTGGAGAACAGCCATTTCGTCAAAACGGACATATTATATTTTTTGAACGAAATCAAAACTGACTTTTTTTGCCAAAATCTGGTCGGAATTTTTTGCTCCTGGGGGTCCGGCGTTCCCAGAACGCTGGACCCCCTACATGTATCTGGTCTATGGTTGAGACCTGCGTAGCACCCCGTTCGCGTTCGCCAGCGAACGCGAACACGTTCGCCCGAACACGAACGGGCTCCGAAAATCAGCGAATGCGAACTTTTTTTTTTTTTTTTTTTTTAAATATATATATAGGTCAGGGGGAGCATGGGTGGTGTCCCTGACCCCCGACCCCCCCC